AATGCAGGAAAGCAGCAGCATTTTCATTGGTTGGCTAAAGTCAAGGAGTTATTTTATGGAGAAGAAAAACTAGTCTAGTGCCAGGATGCTGTTATTTAAGAATTAGGTGATGGCCCTTTATAATAATAATTTTTTAAAGAATAAACATTCACAAAACAACAACAACAAAGAATTAGGTGATGACCTGAAGTATTACCTAAACCCAGCTATTGCAAAACTTTTTGAGCTATGCTTCCATTTCTGTTTTTTGCTGGTTAATTGGAGATGAGTCTCTCAAATTTGTCTGCTTAGGCTGGTTAATTGGAGATGAGTCTCTCAAATTTGTCTGCTTAGGCTGGCTTCTAATCTCATTTCTCAGATTTCCACTTCCTGAATTGCTAGGATTACAGGTATGACCCACCAAGCACCCAGCATAATTTTTTTTTTTTTAGTTGGTCATGGGGCTTGAACTCTGGGCCTTGGCACTGTCCCTGCAACCTTCAGCTCAAGGCAAGCGCTCTACCGTTTGAGCCACAGCACCACTTCCCGTTTTCTAGTGGTTTATTGGAGATAAGAGTCTCACCGACTTTCCTGCCCAGGCTGGCTTTGAATCATAATTCTCAGATCTCAGCCTTCTGAGCAGCTAGGATTACAGGTGTGAGCCAACGGCACCCGGCTTCATAAATTTTTTAAAACATCATTTCTTGACTTCTTAAACAAGAGTGAAAGCTTTAGAATTGGCTCAAAATATTACTTTCACTAATTAAAGGGACACTGCTCTCTTGAATTCTTGATAAAACTAAGGAAAGTTTTCATTTGCAGTCAGCTTCAATGTGATTCCTATCTTACTTCCTTTGCTAGTCAGCTTTTGAAAAATGTTTAATCATTGGTAAATAAGTATTTATCAAACAGTAACATACCTCTACACTTATTATTTTCTCTAAGTTCTTCAGTAATTCATTGGCATTTAAATTCCTAAACCTCAGCCAGGTGCTGGTGGCTCACGCCTGCAATCCTAGCTACTTAGGAGGCTGTGATCTGAGGATCACGGTCCAAAGCAAGCCTGGGCAGGAAAGTCTGTGAAACTCTTACCTCCACTAAACTACCAAAAATTCTGGAAGTAGAGCTGTGGCTCAAATAGTAGAGAATTAGCTTTGAGCACAAACACTCATGGACCAAGGCCTGGAGTTCAAGCCCCAGAATCAGCACAAAAAAAAAGGAGGAGGGGGAAACAGAGAAGGAGGAGGAGAAACAAGGAGGAGGAGAAGGAGAAGAAGAAAGCTTCATGTTTATAATTGGTCTTATATGAGGTCTTTAATATAAGAATGTTTTTCCTGTCAGGTGCTGGTGGCTCACGTCTTTAATCCTACTTAAGAGGCTGAGATCTGAGGATTGTGGTTCAAAGCCAGCCCTAGGCAGGAAAGTCCTAAGACTTATCTCCAATTAACCCCTAGAAAACTGGAAGTAGAGCTGCAGTGCAAAGTAGTGCAAAGGGCACACCAGGCACTGGTGGCTCACACCTGTAATCTTAGCTACTCAGGAGGCTGAGATCTGAGGATCACGGTTCAAAGCCAGCCCGGGCAGGAAAGTCTGTGAGACTCTGATCTCCAATAAGCCACCAGAAAACTGGAAGTGGCGCTGTGGCTCAAATGGTAGAGCACTAGCCTTGAGCTGAAGAGCTGAGGAACAGCTTCTAGGCCCAGAGTTCAAGCCCCACGACCGACAAAGAAAAAAAGAAAGAAAAAAAAGTAATAGGGCACTATCCCTGAGCAAATGAGCTCATTTGCTCATTTGCTCAGGGATAGTGCCCAGACCCTGACTGGCAAAATAATAATGATAAAATCAATCAATCCTAAACCTTGATTTTTTACTTTCTCATTCTGTTACTGAAAACAAAAACTGCTCAAACTACCATACTCCCATCTAAAGAAATCTCATTCCTCTTTCATTACAGTGACAACTCTTGACACTATCTCCTGGAATCCAGTCTCCACTATCAACACCCTCCAAGGTATGCCATCTTGAGAACACTATTCTACCTTGCCTAGCCCCCTTTCCTAAAGCATTAAGCACATGCTACTGTCATTATAAATTTACATGAATCTCCTCTATTTCACTGTCTTTGGTCTACCAGTTGGCACAGAATGCACTCCACAAAGATGAAAATGAACCTCTTATACTCACAGAGAAATAGATAGAACTAGAAAAAAACATTTTGAGTGAGATAAGCCGAGAGCAAAGAAATAAACGGCACATGGTGTCCCTGATATGTGGATGCTAAATCCAAAATGCAAGGAGATACCACAGGACTCAGGAAACAAAGGACCTCCACTCATTTTGTTTTATCATTACTAAATGACCCCATGTTTTTTACTATATATATGATATATATATAGTATATATATATATATGATATATAGTATACTATATATATGATATATATATATATATATATATATATATACTATATATGTGCATATCACCTGATGTGAAAGAAATAGTTGTATTGTCAAAGTTCATAGAATTCACAAAGTTTGGGCTGGGAAGGTGGCTCAGTGGTAGAGCACTTGCCTTGCATGCATGAGGCCCTGGGTTCAATTCCTCAGCACCACATAACCAAAAAGAAAAAAAGCCTGAGTGGCATTGTGGCTCTAGTGGTAGAGTGCTAGCCTTGAGCTGAAGAGCTGAGGGACAGCACCCAGGCCCAGAGTTCAGGCCCCCCGACCGGACCCAAAAAACAAAAACAAAAACAGAATTCACAAAGTTTATAGAACACGATGACTATTTGCCTTGCCTTATGAAGGTTAGGATGTGTTTGTGATTTTAACTTAGTATCACTATCTCACAATACTGTGAAATCTATGTAATCACTTAACCACAATAAAAAAAATTATTTAAAAAAAAAGAATTTAAGACAAAAAAAAATGAGCCTACTAGCTTTCTGATGGCTTAAGAATTCCCTCTAGGGCTGGGAATGTGGCTTAAGGTAGAGGGTTTGTCTAGCACATATGAAGCCCTGGGTTTGATTCCTCAGTACCACATAAACAAATAACAACAAAAAAGCGAGAAGTGGTGCAGTGATCTCAAGTGGTAGAATGCTGGTCTTGAGCAAAAGAAGCTCAAGGACAGTGCTCAGGCCCTGAGTTCAAGCCCCAGGACTGGCAAAAATTAAAATAAAAATCCCTCTAGACACAAAATACCAGACTTTTCTCCTAAATCTAATATGCTTTAAGCAGTATGTGAAGTTTCCCACAAATCTTGATGAAAAGCACCTTTTCTTTGAAGCAAGTACACTAGAGAAAAATGTACCATAGTGGGGAGCGGGGAATGTACCTAGCCAGGCACCGGTGGCTCACACCTGTAATTCTAGGTACTCAAGAGGCTGAGATCTGAGTTCGAAGCCAGCCTGAGCAAGAAAGTCCTTGACTCTTATCTCCAATAAACCACCAAAAAACTGGAAGTGGTGCTGTGTCTCAAATGGTAGAGCACTAGCCTTGAGCTGAAGAGCTGAGGGACAGCGCCCAGGCCGAGATCAAGCCCCATGACAGAGAGACAGACAGACAGACAGACAGACAGACACACACACACACACACACACACACACACACACACACACACACACACACACCCCTTAGTGACACACACACACACACACACACACACACACACCCCTTAGTGCCGCCCAGGCCGAGATCAAGCCCCATGACAGACAGACAGACAGACAGACAGACAGACAGACACATACACACACACACACACACACACACACACACCTTAGTGACTTGGGAGTAATCAAGACATTACATTGTCTTTTTTCCCCCTGAAGGCTATTGAAGTACTTCGCCAGTCTAAACAGCTTCTATATCTAAGTTACCCCTCACCTATCTCTCATAGTTCTAAATTTTCCTTTTTAAGATGCCACAGGGGCTGAGTATAGTGCTACATACTGATCTATAACCTAACACTCTGGAGGCTGAGACAAGAGGATAAATCCAAGGACAGTCTAGGCTATATAGTAATATCCTGTCTCAAAAAGCAAAATGCAAGCAAGATTCCATAGGCTGAGGAGCTAAAATAATTACAATGATGTTACAAGATCTATTTTAATATACTCAATAGCCTTCACAGGCTTCTGATTCTGTCAGAAGAAAAAACACAGTAAAACTACCACTAGTCACTTCAATTTACACTAAATTCATAAAAAGCCAGCCTAATTTAGTGAGTTCTCAGTACATATCAGTTACAAATCAGCTGCCATGGAGGAGGATATACCTGTAATCTCAGTTTATCAGCAAGTGAGATTGAGGCTCTGACAGACATCATCTGGTCCAAGACAGATGTGAAGGCTTGAGCATGTAATACACTCAGGAGGTCCTAAGTAGAAGGACTGAGGCCTAAGACTAGCCTGACCAAAAGAGATCCTGTCTGAAATACAACTAAAAGTAAACAAGGGCTAGGGATGTGGTTCAAGTAAATGGTAGAGTGTATGCTTAGTAAGCAAAAGTCCCTGAAACCACCAAAAAGTTCTTATCACTTGATTTACTTAGTAATCTACAGCTATTTTAAATAACGTTACATAGCACTTGCAGCAAGTCTGACACCTAAATACATAATGTATTATATTTAGCCAGATGCTGGTGGCTCCCATCCATAATCCTACTCAGGAGACTGAGATTTGAGGATTGCAGTTCGAAGCTAGCCTAGGGAGTAAAGTCCATGAGACTCTTATCACCAGTTAAGCCAGAAGTGAAGCTGTGGTTTAAGTGGTAGTGAGCTAGCCTCAAGTGAAAAAGCACAGGGGCAGTACACAGACCCTGAGTTCAAGCCCCAGGACTGGCACACACACAAAAATTTTAAGTTGATGGCCATATTTTCATGCAATCCCAAAATATCATATCAACTGTTGCTCCTCATTCAATAGCCAGTAGGTACAATATTTCACCAAAAACATGTGCTCCACTTTTAGTACTTTATATGTATAATACAGTAGCAAGAGATAGAATAGAAAACAGGACCAGAGATTTAACTAATTAAAGTAAGCTCAGAGTGATTTTTAATATGCCAATGGATGTTGATGAAACATATGTAACAAACAAGTGCAAACAGGATTTAGACCCAAATTAATGAGAAAGCAAAGAAACAATGTTTTTTTCTTTTTTGACAACATTAGCCAATATCATTAGTCAAGTGGCTAATACACATAAAATGTATTTAGTGAAGAACTTGCAAGAGTCATTCTGGCATTTTAAACAGCTATGTACAGTATTATCAAGGTCAGTTTATATATACAAATATTGAAGAGAAACCAGGTCAAACATTTAAAAACAGATTAACTATACATCAAGTACAAAACTTGGGCAGAGAAAAGAGACATTTTTAAAAAAGAGTCAGGAAAGCACATTATCAGAAAAATTACAAAACTAGTAATAATTACACTATATTAATACATCATTCCAAAGGTGGGGTGGGGTGCATTTTTTTCAATGCACTAGCTTCAAAGTTAAAAAAAGCAAATAAGACAAATTAGCTGCTTTTATCAAGAGCAGCTACGTATTTCACATAATTGTTTCAAAAAGAAAGCCTATTAACAACGATGATTGTTTAATGCTACAATTTTACAGCAAAGACAAAACTAAAATAGCAGCAAATTCACAAGGCAATACTTCCATAGAATTGTATCACTCCATGGTTTATGCAATGCCTACAAAGTGCTCCCAGTTGAAGATACAAGTATAATTCACAATTAAAAAACAAAAAGATTGACACACAGGTGCTTCAGAGGCTGAGTAGTACTGAGTCTTAGCATTGTATGCTTATAATAAAGCCATTGAATCCTTTCTACAAGTCACTACAGGAAAGATTCCTTTTATTGCAATGCAACACAAAGTATGCACAGCATACCACCACAGTGGTTAATCCTGCAACAGCTGATATAACATCCAACAGTGACTGACATCCTAAACAAAAAGTCCAGCAAGATTGATTAGACAAAAGCCTGACATAGCAACTGTTGAAATACAGCTTTCAACTGTAATTCACAAAAAAGATACTAAAAGGTATTTTAGTAAAACCACTGATACCAATCAATAAAGTAATTGAAACGTGAATTCTAGCAGTGATTTCAACCTAGTTTCCTCTCGTCACAGTTTTTTGGGGAGGAGGGAAATGAGCAGTTCAGTATATAGTAAGGCTGACAGAGCGGTTCATTTTCTTTCCAATAAGTCGAGAGGTTCTATTACTCTGGGTGGTAGACCTCGTGGCCATCCGGTCAGTGAAGAGTACTCTTTCCTCAGCTGCAGCTTTTGCCATCTGAGCTTTCTTGAGTTCTCTGAGGACAAGAAACAAAGGATTTTTTACTTGTTTATCTACTATATTAATCCTAGGAAGAAATTCTAAGAGGCCAAACACAAACTGTGTTATCAATTGAGAAATATCCACCTACCATCATTATTCTAAGATATAAATGACAAAAGGAAAAATAACATGAAACTTTAACTTACACTCAACTTCGTTTTGTGCTTTTGTAATTACAATATCACATATGCTTTTTTTTTTTTTGGGGGGGGGGGGGCCAGTTGTGGGGCCTGAACTCTGGGCCTGGGCACTGTCCCTCAGCTCTTCACCTCAAGGCTAGAGCTCTACCACTTGAGCCACATCACCACTTCCGGCTTTTTTTTTCTGCTTATGTGGTGCTGAAGAATCGAACCCAGGGCCTCATGCATGCAAGGCAAGCGCTCTACCACTAAGCCACCTTCCCAGCCCTCACATATGCTTTTATACCAAGTGAGATGAAAGGAAAATCTTACTTCTTATTCTCAAAAGTATGATGGGTATCAAACTAGTATATAAACATTCTAATATTTAATATAAAATTTCTATAATCTTAAAATTTAATATAAAACCTTTTGAGTTACTTTAATTAGGCCAGAATCAATATGGTAGCAATAAATTAAAAGAATTAGAAATGACAGATGTGGTGGTACATGCTTGCAATCCCAGCTATTGGGCAGGTGGAAATAGAAGGATTAAGAGATGAAAGACAACAAGACAACTGGGCACTGGTAGCTCACACCTGAAATCCTGGCTACTCAGGAGGCTGAGATCTGGGACTATGGTTTGAAGCCAGCCCAGGCAGAAAAGTTCATGAGACTCTTATCTCCAACTAACTACTCAGAAAAAGCCCGAAGTGGCACTGATTATTAAGTAGTAGAGTGCTAGCCTTGAGCACAAAGTGTCTCAGGGACAGTGCCTAGGCCCTGAGTTCAAGCCTCCAGACTGGCAAAAAAAAAGCAAGATCTATCTCAAAGCCAACATTAGTGGCTCACACCTATAATCCTAGCTATTCAGGAGGCTAAGATCTGAGGATCACAGTTAGAACCCAGCCCAGACAGGAAAGTCCATGAGATTCTTTTTTTTTTTTGTCAGTAGTGGGGCTTGAACTCTAGGCCTGGGTGCTGTCCCTCAGCTCTTCAGCTCAAGGCGAGCGCTCTACCACTTGAGCTACAGCGCCACTTCGGTTTTCTGGTGGTTTATTGGAGATAGGAGTCTCACAGTCTCTCCTGTCCGGGCTGGCTTTGAACCACGATCCTCAGATCTCAGCCTCCTGAGTAGCTAGGATTACAGGTGTGAGCCACCAGCGCCTGGCAGTCCATGAGATTCTTATCTCCAATTAATCACAGAAAAAGCCAGAAAGACATTATAGCTCAATGGTAGAGTGCTAACCTTTAGCAAAAGGAGTTCAGGGACAGTGCCCAGGCCCAGAGTTCAAGTCCCAGGTCTGTCAAAATAAATACATTAAATAATAAATCAATCTCAAAAAAATAAATTGGGGGACCAGGAAGGTGGCTCAGTGGTAGAGTGCTTGACTCGCATGCATGAGGCCCTCAGCACCATATAAACAGAAAAAGCTGGAAGTGGTGCAGTGGCTCAAGTGGTAGAGCGCTAGCCTTGAGGTGAAGAGCTGAGGGACAGCGCCTAGGCCCAGAGTTCAAGCCCCACAATGGACAAAAAAAATAGACAAACAGGGGGGGTGGCTCACTGACAAAGCACATCAGGTATAGAGTTTGAGTCCCAGTCTCGGAGGGGAAGGGGAAAGGGAAAAGAGGGGTAAAGGGAAAATAAAGGAGGAAAGGAAAAGGAAAATTAAGCTATGTGGGATGCCAGTGGCTCACACCTGTATTTCTACCTACTCAGAAGGCCAATATCTGAATATCTCCATTCAAAGCCAAGTGGGCAGGCAAGTCCATGAGATTCTTATCTCCAATTAATCACAAAAAAGCTGGAAGTGGAGCAGTGGCTCAAGTGGTAGACCACTAGACTTGAGCATCAAAGCTTAGAACAGTATCTAGGTTCAAGCCCCAAGACAAGCACAATTTTTTATTTCAAATAAGGAACAAATGGTGAACAAATGCAGCAGTGGTACTCACTAGACGCTATATTGAAAATGAACTGTACATCTTAGGGATGTGAGGGAGAAACTGGGAAAGAGAGGGTATGGGTGATATTGTCCCAAAAGAAATATACTCTTTACCTGACTTATGTAACTAGCTTCGTACATCACTTTTACAATAACAATAAAAAAAAAAAATTTAACTAGCCAGGTGCTGGTGGCTCACACCTATAATGCTAGCTACTCAGGAAGCTGAGATTTGAGAATGGGGTTTGAAGGAGCCCAGGCAGAAAAGTACCCATGACTGTTATCTCTAATTAATCACTCAAAAACTGGAAGTGGTGCTGTGGCTCAAAGTTATAGAGTGCCAGTCTTGAGCAAAAGAGCTCTAGGACAGCATCCAGACCCTGAGTTTAAGCCCCACACTGCCAAAAATAATAAATAAATTATAAGCTGGGTATGGTAGTACATACCTCTCTACTCAGGAGGCAGAGGTAGGAGGATCACAATGTGAGACTGACCTGGGCAAAAATGAGACCTTATCTGAAAACAAAGCAAAAAAGCTATGGGTATGGTTCAAGTGGTAAAGAGTGGCTAGCAAGTGTAAGGCCTTGAATTCAAATCTCTATACCAAAGGGAAAAAAAGTGATCTGTGGTTACTAATATCCATATTTCTTTTTTGATATCCTTTCACCAAATATGTAGAAAGGAATGTTGTAAGGGAAATATTTTTGTGAAAGGGTCTGAGGAACAACAAAACTGGCATAGGCTCTTGTAGCTTTTTCTCTTTTACCAAATGGAGAATATAAAAATTTGTAAACACACACTAGTCTTGTGTGTAACTACAAAGCTTATTAACTACATAGACTTAATAGTTAAAACTTTCATTGTTTAACAACCTACCAAGCTACTACATGCTTCGTTGACAGAAAGCTTAAATAACTTTTTATTACATACAACCTAAGAATGAAAAAGAAAAATACAAATGGTACTTACTTCTGCAAAAGTGAGTTTTTAAACTTTTCAGCATTCAATTCTATTCGTAACTGTTCTGCACTCTTTCTAGAAGCAGACAACAATACAGAATGCTTCACCAGTGCCATTGCTGAAGGTCTTTTCTCAGGATCTGGATGAATCATAACCTTAGAAACAAAAGTAAAATTGAAATAGAAATGTACAACTTAACTTTGAACAGTGTCAATAAAGTGCTTCATATAAAAAATGCTTACTTTTAGCAACTCTGTAAATTCCTGGGAAAGCACTTGGGGAATCCGAGGTAATCGACCCTGTCTGATTTCATGCCATTGGTCTCCATTTCTGGGAAGAGGTTCAGCACCAGCAGCACATACTACTGTGAGGGCGAGGGCAAAAATATCTGCTTTTGGTAGGTGGGTATAGTTCTGAAAAAAAAATTTTTTGAAAATTTAATGACAATATTAAAATGGTCAAAGTAAAAGATTATATATCAATGGTAATTTAATTGAAGTGTTGGACCAAAAAAAAAAAAAAAAAAAAAACCCTCTAATGTCACTATGTCTTCAGAGACCAAGCTAAATTGGAGATTTTTTTGTGTGCTGGTCCTAGAGCTTAAACTCAGGGTTTGGCCACTGTGCCTAACCTTTCTTGCTCAAGGCTCTACTTCCAGCATTTTGCTGGTTAATTGGAGGTAAGAGTCTCAGGGACTTTCCTGCTTAGGCTGCTTTAGCTTTTTTGATTAAGGCTATTGCTCTACACCTTGAGCCACATTCTCTACTTCTGGTATTTTGATAGTTAGCTAGAGATAATAGTCTTTCAGATTAGTCTACAGAGGCTAGCTTTGAACCTTGATCTGAAGATCTCAGACTCCTAAGTAGCCAGAGTTATAGGTATGATCCACCAGTGCCTGGCCTGACATGATTTTTATTTAGTTTTGTCAGTTGTGAGGCTTGAACTCAGGGGCTGGGTGCTGCCCCTGAGCTTGTTTGCTGAAGGCTAGGGCTCTGCCACTTTGAGTAATAGTGTTACTTTTGGTTTTCTGGAGATAGGAGTTTCATGGACTTTCCTGCCAGGGCTGGCTTTGAACCACAATCCTCAGATCTCAGCTTCCTAAGTAGCTAGGATTACAGGCATGAGCCACCTGCACCCGGCTTCTGACATTTTAAAATACTGAAAGACACTAATACTTTGATCTTCAAAAACACTATGAAATTTAAAAATTCTACCAGTAAAATATGGTCATACCTCTTTAACTATAACACTATTGCTATAATACTCTCAGATGTTTCCTATTTCTATTTCATTTGTTTTTAAAGTTTTGACAAAAGCTAATTTGTATTCTATCAACTAATAGGTATCACAAAGCAAATATTAATATTTAAGGAGAAAAATTACCTCCTGTAAAACCTCATTTGCAAGAAAACGGCTATCACCTTCTTCAACTTGTGGACTAGAAATTCTTGTTACATGCCCAAGATCACCTAGAACATTAAAAAAAGGTATAGCCAAGAATTCAAGTATCTCTAAATTTTAACATAATAATCCAGTTATCTGTCTTACCTATTTTAAACATAACTTTGTTGGATATCCACTCATCTTCATCTCCTTCTTCAGAAACAGCATTTGGGATTGAGGTTCGAGATATGAAAATATTACCTGTTAAAAAGTTAAGTAAGTAAGCTTCACTAATAGTATAATCAAAGCTTACAAGTAATATTAAACACCATGCAGGAAACTTTAAAAATTCAGATTCTTGGGCTGAGAATGTGGCTTAGTGGTAGAGTGCTTGCCTAGCATGCATTAAGCCCTCGGTTCAATTCCTCAAATCCACATAAACAAAAAACCAGAAGTGGCACTGTGGCTCAAGTGGTAGATTGCTAGCCTTGAGCAAAAGCAGCTCAGGGACAGTACCCAAGCCCAAGCCACAGGACAGGCAAAAAATAAATAAAAATGCAGATTCTCATGTCCATTCCAACTAAATAAGGACCAGACTGTGTTTCCTTGGAATTTGTTTTCAAGATTAGCAGTGGCCTCTGAATATAAGAAATTCACTGTTAGAGCTTTGTCACCTGCATACTACTCTCCACCAAATTATCAATAAACATAACAAAAATAAGTCATTTGTGGTGGGTTTTTTTGTTGTTTTTTTTTTTACTATTATGTTTTTGTTCTGGTCCTTGAACTCAGGATTTGGGCACTATCCCTGAGCTTTTTTGCTCAGTCTTTTGGTCCCTGTACTATGTTAACTCAGTGATAGCTTCAATTTCTTTTTTTTTGGGTTGGTCATGGGGCTTGAACTCTGGGCCTGGGTGCTGTCCCTCAGCTCTTCAGCTCAAGGCAAGCGTCCTACCACTTGAGCCACAGCGTCACTTCCAGTTTTCTGGTGGTTAACAAGACAAGAGTTTCACGAACTTTCCTCCCCGGCTGGCTTTGAACTGTGATCCTCAGATCTCAGCCTCCTGAGTAGCTAGGATTACAGGCATAAGACAACAGTGCCTGGCTAATTTAAAGATTTTTAAATGTCACATTCCTCTACATTTTTTATCCTTTGTATATTGTAATATAAGGTCTACTATATGTATCTTAACACTTTCTGCAACATAAAAATATAGTTAAGCCGGGGCTGAGAAGGTAGCTCAGCGGTAGAGTGCATGCCTTGCAAGCATGAGGCCCTGGGTTCGATTCCTCAGCACCACATAAACAGAAAAAGCCGGAAGTGGCGCTGTGGCTCCAGTGGTAGAGCACTAGCCTTGAGCTGAAGAGCTGAGGGACAGCGCCCAGACCCAGAGTTCAGGTCCCATGACCGACAAAAAACAAAAAATATATATATATATAGTTAAGCCTTACTAATTCAGATTTACTGCCATTATTCCAAATATATTTTTTTCCTTTTGAAACTATTAACTTCAGTGAGTTCCTTTATAGATAGAAATTTTTACACGAAACTGAGAATGAGTAAAATGACCTAAATTCTTATGAATCAACTCATTTCTATAGACTAAAAATTTAAAAACTATAAAGCTCAGCTTACACCAGGTGTAGCTATTCAGGAGGCTGAGATCTGAGGATCGTGGTTCAAAGCCAGCCCAGAAAGGAATGTCCATGAGACTCTTATCTACAATTAACCACCAGAAAATCCAAAGCAGAGCTGTGGCTCAAAGTAGTAGAGTACTTGAGCAACAGAGCTCATAGATAGTGCGTCAGCCCTGAGTTCAAGCCCCATGACTGAAGGGAAAAAAAAATACACACACACAAAAAAAACCAAACCTCAACTAACAAACAAGCAAACAACCTAAAATGACTTGTCTGATTCCATTAACACTTCATTACAACTTTCTACTCATAGGAAATATAGGGAAGAAACAAGTTAAAGATACAAGGAAGCAGCCTTATTCTGCAAAACAAGTCTGTATCATTGGGAAAGAATAAAACCTACAAAAGTATATATAACTAAATGCACTACGTGGTCCTAAAATAGATGCCAATTTTAACAAATCAACTGTGAAAATCCTGTATCAAATGGTCTGGCAGAGAAGAGTGAACAGGTTTTTAGTTTCCCCATCATACTTTCCCCATACTTTTACTAAAAGGTCTGGACTCTGTCTCTGAGCTTTTGTGTTCAAGGATAGTGCTTTACCACTTGAGCCATCACTCAACTTCCAGCTTTTTGGTGGTTAATTGGAGATAAGGGTTTCATGGACTTTCCTGCCTGGATTAGCTTTGAACTGAGCTCCTCAGATGTCAGCCTCCTGAGTAGCTAGGATTTACAGATGTGAGCCATGGATGCCTGGTAACAATGAAATAACATGTTTTCATATTGTCAAAATGATTTGTTTTCTATAACACCCAAAAAGCACAGGATCAAGAATCTGAAATACTTACTAGGTTTTATGTCCATGTGAACCAAAGACATTGAATGAATGTATCTCAAACCCCGACCAACTTGCAGAAGGAGATCTTTCAACTCTGCTTCTGTAAAGTAACTCATGATTCTGTAGTTTTCACTTATAGCATCAGCTAAACTTCCACCTACCAAAAATAACAGAAATCAACATTTTCTTCTTTTGGAAAGTTATTTTGCTCAAACAAGAAAGCAACATTCAGTGGAACCACTACTTTCTCTCTGCTATGAAATGAAGGTGGGTTTTTTTTGTTGTTGTTGTTTTATGGGATTTTTTTGTTTTTGACACCAGTACTGGGAGTTGGAGTCTGTGAGGCTATTATCTCCAATTACCCACAACAAAATCAGAAGTGGCACTGTGGCTCAAGTGGTAGAGCGCTCACCTTGAGCTGAAGAGCTCAGAGACAGTGCCCAGGCCCAGATTTCAAGCTCGATGACCGACAAAAGAAAAAAACTTTCTAAACTCATACTTTGTCTCAACAGTAGAATTACTATTATTACTATTTAGATCTTAAGAATAATAAAAACAGGCTGGGTGTTGGTAGCTCATGCCTATAATCCTAGCTAGTCAGGAGGCTGAGATCTGAGGATCACATTTCAAAGCCAGCCCAGGCAGGAAAGGCTGTGAGACTCTCCAATTAACCACCAGAAAACAAAAAAAGAATAATAAAATCAGGGCAGGTAATATGGCTTAGTAGTAGTGTTTGGCCTAGCATGCAGGTAGCCCTGGGTACAATCCCTCAGTACCATATAAAGCGAAAAGGCTAGAAGTGGTGCTACAGTGATAGAGGGCTTAGTTGAGCAAAAGAAGTTCAGTGACAGTGCCCAGGCCCCGAGTTCAAGCCTCAGGACTGGCAAAAAAAAAAAAAATAAAGGTCAAACAATATTTAGTCAGGAAAGGAGGTCCTACAACTTGGAAACTAAATAATGTAAAATGTATATTTAAAACAAAAATAGGTGCAGCTGTGAAGCTGGGGGAAAAAAAAAAAGCTATGACTTATCATAGAGCATTAGTCTTAAGCAAAAAAAGCTAAGGGGCAATGCCCAGGCCCTGACTTCCAGCATTAGGCCAACAAACACAAAACATAAAACATAAATTGTTCAACCTCAGATATTGTTTTTTGTGTTTTTTTTTTTTTTTTTTTGGGGGGGGTCCAGTCCTGGGGCCTGAACTCTGGGCCTGGGCGCTGTCCCTCAGCTCTTCAGCTCAAGGCTAGCACTCTACCACTCAAGCCACAGCGCCACTTCCAGCTTTTTTTCTTTTTGCTTACGTGGTGCTGAGAAATCAAACCCAGGGCCTCATGCATGCAAGGCAAGTGCTCTACCACTGAGCCACCTTCCCAGCCCCTTTTGTTTGGTTTTTATCAATACAAGGTTTTGAACTTGGGGCCTCACATTTGCTAAGCAAACAACTCTACCACTTGAGTTATTATCTCCAGTCCTTTTTGCTTTAGTTTTATGTATGTATGTATGTATGTATGTCAGTTGTGGGGCTTGAACTCTGGGCCTGGGCACTGTCCCTAAGCTCTTCAGCACAAGGCTAGTGCTCTACCACTTGAGCCACAGTGCCACTTCCTGCTTTAGTTATTTTTAGTTCCTGCTTTTAGTTATTTTAGCTTTTTATTTATTCCTGCTTTTAGTTATTTTAGCTATTTGGGCCGAGATCCGATCAGCTGCCTTCCATGTACGTAGGATCACAAGCACAAGCAACCATGCCTGGTTTTGAGGTAGAATCTCACTTTTTGCCTAGGCTGGCCTCAAACTGCACAAATCTCTTATCATCCACAGTAAGACTGTAGGCCTGAGCCACCACACCTGGCCTTCAGGCATCTTTTATAGATGCCAAAAGTGAACTAGGACAATTTTAAATACTATGTAGTTAACATAAGGACACCAGAAAATACAAGGAAAAGCCACTGTCCTTCCCCGAGATGACCATTTTGTAATAATATAATCTAGTATACAAAGTTCCATTACTGTATTATGTACAAAGTGCTTCAGAGGGAAGATTGCAATGCAATTGCATGCAAAATTTATGTTATACCTCTGATCACTGAGTCTCTAAGAAGCCGAGGCTATAGCTCAGTGGGGTTAGCACATGTGAAGCCCTGAGCTCTATCCCCAGAAATGCCAAAAGAAAAACTTAAAGATAGTAATAATATATTTCATTATTGTTTTTTCAAGCTCACAAGTTTATACAAACTATTACTTACCATTACAATATTCATTCTGTATAAGCATATGATCGTCTTCTGCCCAGGCAGAGAAATATCGAACGACATGAGAATGCTGTCCAAGCACTGCGTGAGCATATACTTCTCTCAAAGCATTCTGCCTTAGAGAGATTAAACATTAACAAAATTATAAACATTTTTACTTAAGACTAAAGCAAATTAATTTTACCTGAAGCTTTCATAAAATAATTTTACTTTTATAACTATTATGCTGAAAAGCAACTTGCTTAAAAGGGGGTTTACCATAAATGGTTGATTTTTTTTTTTGGGGGTCCAGTCGTGTGGCCTGAACTCTGGGCCTGGGCACTGTCCCTCAGCTCTTCACTAGCGCTCTACCACTTGAGCCACAACGCCACTTCTGGCTTTTTTCTTTTTGCTTATGTGGTGCTAAGGAATCAAACCCAGAGCCTCATGAATGCAAGGCAAGTGCTCTACCACTGAGCCACCTTCCCAGCCCTAAATGGTTAATTTTTAAAGCCTGTTTCTTTTGTTTAGTTAACATCCATGAATTTATATTATAATGAAGTCAGATCTTTTCTCAGTTGTAGAGCTACCAAATTTTCTGACAGTCTTTTTTCTTTTTTTTTTGTGCCAATCCTGTGGTTTGAACTCAGGACCTGAGTGCTGTTTTTTTTGTTTAAGGATGGTGCCCTTCACTTGAGCCACAGCTCCACTTCTGGCTTTTTTGGTGGTTAACTGAAGATCAGATTGAAGATCAGTCTCACAAACTTTCCTGCTCAGGCTAGCTTCTGTGATTGTAAGATCTCAGCCTCCTGAGTAGCTAGGATTACAGGTCTAAGCCACAGGCACATGGCTTTGACAATCTTCTTTAATAGAAGCCTTTGGAATAAAAATCAGAAAAAAAAATCTGGGGTAGGAGAAGCAGGCTCAAACTCACAGTCTTCCTGCCTGAATGAAATTATAAGTGAGTGCTACCATGTCTATGAAATTACGTTCTAAAACAAACATTACATATTCCCTAATAAAACCAGTAAAAACAAATGACACAAAAGTAAAAGGATATGGTTAAATCTGTATCTTCTCAAAAAGTGTAAGAGTTTAGTATTTTTGTGTGTGTATGTTTGTCGTGGGGCCTGAACTCTGGGCCTGGGCACTGTCCCTCAGCTCTTCAGCTCAAGGCGAGCGCTCTACCACTTGAGCCACAGCACTACTTGTGGCTTTTTCTGCTTATGAGGTGCTCAGAAATTGAACCCAGGGCCTCATGCATGCAAGGCAAGCCCTGTACCAGAGCCACCTTCCCAGCCCCAAGAGTTCAGTATTTGATAAATTAAAACTTATATGCAATAACATAAGAGGCAAAAACCAAACGACAGCCAGGCACTGGTAGCTCATGTCTGTAATCCTAGCAATACAGGAGGCTGAGACATGAGGGTCGCCCTTCAAAGCCAGACCTGGCAGGAAAGGCCATGAAACTCTTACCTCCAATAAACTACCAGAAAACTGAAAGTGGCACTCTGGTTCAAGTGGTAGAGGGCTTCTTTGAGCTGAAGAGATGAGGACAGCGCCCAGGCCCAGAGTACATGCCCCATGACAAAAAAAAAAAAAAAAAACCACAAAAAAAAAAACTTAATACATACTCATCAACAGAGCCCGCCAATGGCTTTTTTGATCGCTTAATGGCATAAACGCATCCATCCAGCCTCTTCACACACTTAAATACAGATCCAAATTCTCCAGACCCAATTTTCTCCAACTCATGAAATTCGGTCGTGTATCGTGACTTCATATTGCTTTCAGTAATTGTAATTCTCTGCAATAAAAAGAATATTCCTTGGAAGTAAAGCTGTGGCTCAAGTGGTAGAATACCAGCCTTGAGTGAAAAAGCTAAGGGACAACACCCAGGTGGCTAAGTTTAAACCCCCATTATCACTATTGAAACAAAAACAAAACAATATTCCACCTTTGTAAAATTGATTTTTTTGCTATGGTGACAGGACAGTATGTAAAACTTTTAAATCATTCTACCTTACATTTTACTGCTTACTCAGCATATTTACATCATTACTTATTAGGGCAGAACATTAGATTTCTTAAATAGCTGAAAGCAACTTATAAGCCAGTATGGTGGCCCATACCTATAACCCCAGCATTCCAAAGGCTTACTACGTTTGCCACCAGAATGGGCTATACAATAAGACCGTTTCAAAAACACAAAACAAAAATCACCAGTACACAAAACAAAAAAGTAATTTACTTTAGCAGGTCTTGTTTCATCTTCAAACTCACAATCACTGACTTCCATATCTTCACAAGAACTGAAAAAAAAAAAAAAAAAAAACCACATAATTTTCATAAATATATCTAATAGACTTGTCTTGAGAACCAAAGCTTTATCTTTGTGTGTGTGTGTATGTGTGAGAGAGAAAGAGAGAGAGAGAGAGGACTGTGTCATGGGGCTTGAACTCTGAGCCTGGGCACTGTCCTTGAGCTCTTCAGCTCAAGGCTAGTGCTCTACCACTTGAGCACAGTGCCACTTCTGGTTTTCTGGTGGTTTATTGGAGATAAGCACCAGGCCAAAGCTTTACCTATTAAGTACACAGTATATAGCTGGGTGCCGGATGCTAGGTATCAGTGGCTCTGGCCTGTAATCCTAGCTACTCAGGAGGCTGAAATCTGAAGATCACGGTTCAAAGCCAAGCCTGGGCAGGAAAGTCCTTGAGACTCTTATCTCCAATTAACCACCAGAAAACCGGAAGTGGCGCTGTGGCTTAAGTGGCAGAGTGCTAGCCTTGAGCTGAAGAGCTGAGGGACAGCGCCTAGGCCCAGAGTTCAATTCCCATGACCAGCCGACTGACCCCCTCACCCACACTAGTATACAGTACAATGAGTTTTAATGGATAAAAAGAGGGAAAAAACACTTAATTTTGTAATCATGAATTCAATCCAGCTGATGGAAAAGTCCCTGATGAGACAGGCTCCCTAAACCACTAGGACACATAACAAAACACATTCTCAACCAACTTTTCGCCTGCCTCATTTTTGACAGCAGACATCCAAAAGGTATCCAGGTTTTTTATTGCTTGCTTTCTCTTTTGTTGTTGGTGGTGGTGGTGGTGGTCATGGGGTTTGAACCCTGGGCCTTGGTGCTGTCCCTGAGCTCTTCAGCTCAAGGAGAGTGCTCTACCACTTAAGCCACAGCAACATGTCCGTTTTTTGATAGTTAATTGGAGATAAGAGTCTCATAGACTTTCCTGCCCAGGCTGGCTTTGAACTATGATCTCAGATCTCAGCCTCCTGAGTTGTTAGGATTATAGGAGTGAGCCACCGGCACCAGGTCAAATTTCATTTTTTGAGTGTCATGTACGTTTGTGCTCTCTGTTCTTCTCTTGGTAGCATTTAATCTCAGGAGATAGTGAAAAGTAATCGGTTGTAGGCAAGGAATAGTATAAGAAAGCAATAGCCAGGCACCAGTGGCTCTCGCCTGTAATCCTAGCAACTCAGAAGGGTGAGATCTGAGGATCACGCTTCAAAGCCAAGACCAGCAGTAAAGTACATGAGACTCTCATTTATCTCCAACTAACCACCAGAAAACCAGAAGTGGAGCTGTGGCTCAAGTGGCAGAGTGCTTGTCTTGAGCTCTAGAGATCAGAGAGAGCGCCAAGGCCCAGAGTTCAAGCCCAATGACCGACAAAAAAAGAAAAGAAAAAAATGTGGCAAGTATATGAAACCAATCAGGTGTGCAGGCAAATCATTAAATTTACTTACTCATTCCAATATGTTCTCTTTCTTCGACGACACTCTCCTGAGGAATAAAGCAATAAAGAATCTGGGGTAAAAGGATTAATATTCACTTGAGGAGTTGGTCGTGGGTCAAATTCTCTTTTTCCTGATCGTTCTGTGTCCGTGAATAGAGAACAACCCCGGAGTTTAATAGCACTGGAATCTATTCCTCGGGCTTTAGACAGCAAACTCTAGGGAAGAGAAGAAAACAAAACAAAAAATTGGACCCAAATCCAGTTTTCTCAACAGGCCTTTTAAGTGGCTTAATGTGTAGGGGGCTGTAAAAGTAGCTCAGTAATAGAGCACGTGCAATTCCATTTCTAGCACCCCACAAAAAACAAAAAAACATGGGCTGGGAAGGTGGCTCAGTGGTAGAGCGCTTGCCTTGCATGCATGAGGCCCTGGGTTCAATTCCTCAGCACCACATAAGCAGAAAAGGCTGAAAGTGGCACCGTGGCTCAAGTGGTAGAGCACTAGCCTTGAGCTGAAGAGCTGAGGGACAGCGCCCAGGCCCAGAGTTCAGGCCCCATGAACAGCAAAAAAAAACAAAAAACACAAAAAAACATACGACACAGATTTGCTATACTGCAAGTCAAACAGACCGTGGCTAAATTAGGGCTGTTAAGGGGGAATCCTACCTACCTACCTATCTGAAAAAGCCAGCAAAGTAAGGTCTGTAATCCTAAAAGGAACATTTATGCTGACTAAAACTAAGTTCATCTCATTTTTCAAAAAGTTAACAAAATCTTTCAACCATCTAAAAAGAGAAAGCAGTGTGCCTTACAATCTCCCCTCCCCCATCCAAACGGGGCTTTGAAAACCACAGGCAGGACTCCGCCCCTCCCCTGCAGAGGGATCTTGCCTTGGGCAAGTCTCACAAACACTAAAGTTCCCAGCGCACGAACTCCTCAGTGGTGATTAACGGTACACCGAAAAGAGGCTGTCCGTGCAGACTCACTTTAAAGTTACGGAGCCTTCAGGTGTGATATGAGGATCCTCACTTGGAAATGTCCCCTTCCTATAGTGTCGTGTGGTCTCTTCAGTCCCAAGGGTGGTCACCTGCACACTCAGTGGCCATCCCACAAAACAGGTGCTCCACACAGCCACTGCTGGAAGTCACGTAACACACAGGTGACTTCCTGGCCACACATCACTCGCCGCCCAAACGGACGGACACGACTAGCCCCAGGCCAGAACGAAACGTTCTGGCCCCCAAAAGAGACTTAAAAGCCAAAACCTTCACACACACACACACACAGCCATAAAAAAGGACTTAAAAGCCACCCTGAGTTACTTAGGGAGTGTGTCTCCACGCCCGGAAATGCAAGGAAGGCTAGCTTTCCACTCGCAAGTGGAGGCGCAGACACCCCCCCACCTCACCTGCCCCCCCCCCCCCGCATCGCCACAGGCTACAAAACCATAGGCGCAGGTAATTTTGTTTTTAACCGACCTCCTTCTGCCCGCACCGCCCAAATTACAAGCCCGACAGCGGAGTTTCAAAAGGCACCATATGGCCCGGGAGTGTCGGGTGGTGGGGCCCGCACCCTCCCGCATCTTTGCACACCCGGGCTAAAAAGTAGCCGGGGCAGCAGCTCCCCACCCACCTGCCCTGCCCCCCGTGTAAAATGAAGACGCTCCCGAAGAGGCCCATTGTTCAATTACATAATCTTAACGGCCAGCAGCTTCTGGGCCGGGCTAGAAAGAGGGGCTGCCAACTTTCAATGGCAGCGCTTGAGAGCGAGTGGGGTGCGGCCGGGCGGTTATGTAACCGAACCCCGGCGGCAGCGGTGGCGGCGGAGACTCGGCCTTTCAAGGAAAAAAAAAAAAAGGCCCGGCCACCCCGCGTCCCGCCAGCTCACCTTCGGTGTGTGCGGGGTGTCGAAGAGCCGCAGCTTGCGGAAGGTCTTGTGCGGCGGGGTGCCCGGCTGGTCGGGCAGCGGCGAGCAGGGCACCACGATGGCCCGCCGCGCCCCGCACACCCGCGGGGACGCTTCCCCCGGGGCCCCGCAGCGCACCGGAGAGAACGAGCTGCCCAGGAAGTAGCTGGCGGTCGGAGACTTGACCGGCGATGAGGAGCCGAAGCCTTCCTCTTCCCACGAGTCGCCCTCCGCCCCGCCGCCCGCAGCGACCGCGTCCGGGCTGGCGCCCTGCAGCAGTATGTCCTCCTCCAGCTCCCCGGGACTCCCGGGGGCCGGGCCGGGAGAGCGGCGGTGCTCCGGCCCCGGCTCCGCGGGGCTGCGCGCGGGCGGCAGCGGCGAGTCGGGCTCCTGAAAGGCCGAGTCCTCCCCGGTGCTGTGGCCGCTGCCCTCCTCCTCCTCCTCCTCCTCCTCTTCCTCACAGTCGCTGCAAGGAGAGAAGATCAGCTTCTGCCGCAGAGTGCAGGCGGCTCCGAAGCGGCGGGGCGGCGGCTGTCGGCTCAGGAAGCTCATCGCTGGCCTGGGGTTGGGGCCGAGGGCCCGAGAGCCGAGGCCGGCCGAGTCCAGGTCGCGGCCGGCCCAGGGGGGCGGGTCCGCCACGTGCAACTGGGCGCGTCGGGCGGCGGCGGCGGGCCTGCGCGGCGGCGGCGACCTCTCCCGGGCGCTGGGAGCTGGGGGCGCGGCGGCGGGCACGGGGCGGACTGTCCAGAAGACGCTGGGTGGCTCGGGCGCCGAGGCTGGGGTCTCGGAAAGTCCAGCCGCAAGTTCGGGCTCTGCGGCTTCCCGCGACCGTTAACCACGTGAGGGCCCAGCCCACCAATCCCCGCCCAGCCCTGGGTTTGAAAAAAAGGGAGGGCGCGACGTAGCCCGCGGGGGTGGGACCAGCTACGCGATTTTGGCGCGAACCTGCTGGCTCCGCCCTCTCACTCGGCGCGCCGCCAGGCCGGGGCGGAGCCGCGGAGCGCTAGTGCTCTCTCGGCGGTGGTGAGGCCGGGCTCGGAGCCCCGAGGTCACTGTGGGAGGGAGAGCTGGAGGGAACGGTCGTCTGGCCGGAGTCGGGGGCCGCCGCAGACCGTGAGGCCCTTCAGCCCCACGCTCCTAGGGGCTGGGCCTCGGGGACGTCCTGGGCGTGGCTGTGCGAAGTCACGTTCCGGTGGCAAGGTCTGGAGGGGGGGGTGGCGACTACTGCCTCAGGCTGCTTCCGAACCGCCGGAGCTCAAGTGCGTCGGCCGAACCCTCCGTCCATGCGGGAAGGGCGAGCGAATTGAGCTGTGCGTGCTGGGACACTGGCACCGGTGTTCTCGGTCTGTCCCCCTCACCCCGGGTGGCCACGTGCCCACCCCGACGGGAGCTCCGCCGGCCCGGAGCCAGCTCGGCGGCGGGGCCGGACTTCGCCTGGTAAACAAGCAAAACCCTGGCCCCTCCCCCCGCCCCTCCCCTCCCCCTCCCCCTGCGGCCTTCCCCCCTCCCCCTCCGTCCCGCCAGCCCCGCACCACACTGAGCGACCACTAAGCTACTACGGTGTTTTGGTTTGGTTTGCGTTGGCCGAACTGATTGGCCTGGTGCGCAGTTCTCCCTCGTAACAGGACTCTTCTTCCTTCTTAGTGGTGGTGGTGGTGGTTTGCGGGTCCTGGGGCTTGAGCCTCTTTGTGCTTGAGCCACGGCGCCACTTTTTCTGGGTAGTTTTATTGGAGTCTCACGCGGACTTTCCAACTGCGTCCTCAGAGCTCAGCCTCCTGAGTAGTTAGGATTACAGGCGTGCGCCACCAGCGCACTGACAGTAGGAATTCACTGACAGTAGGAATTACCAGAGTCCAAGGACATCAGATTGTCAAATTTACCTGCAGAAAATCAATTTGGATTTTCATTCACAGTAGATTAGAGCTCACTTTTTGTGAATTCTGGATATAAGTGTCTGTTCTTGTGGATTTGCTCTGATTCACATTGCTAGACAGAAGTCTTGGGTTGAATGGCCTTTTACATTTTTTTTTTTTGTCAGCTGTGGGGCTTGAACTCTGGACCTGGGTGCTGTCTCTTCACTCCTCAGCTCAAGGCAAGCGCTCTACAGCTTGAGCCACAGTGCCACTTCTGGTTCTTATAGTGGTTTATGGGAGATAAGTGTCTCACAGACTTTCCTGCCTGGGCTGGACTGTGATCCTCAGGTCTCAGCCTCCTCAGTAGCTAGGATTACAGGCATGAGCCACCACACTCAGCTTTTTACACTTATTTCTGTTATCTTTTAGCCCTCTGTGAGTTCCAGCAGTTTCTGATGTATGCTGTTCTATTCCAACACTTTTCAAAGGCTCAGATCAAAATAACTTTTTTTTTGTAAAGAATCTATGAAACCTGGCATCTATGGTTATTGCCTGTAATCCTAAGGATTGCCTTTCAAAGATAGCCTGAACAGGAAAGTCCCAGAGACTCTTCTGCAATTAACCGCCAGAAAAAGGGGAAGCAGCACTGTGGCTGAAAGTGGTAGAGCACTAGCCTAAGCAAAAAAAGTTTAGGAACATGTCTATAATCCTAGCTACTCAGGAGGCTGAGGTCTGAGGATCGAAGTGCAAAGCCAGCCCGGCAGGAAAGTCTATGAGACTCTTACCTCCCATAAACCACTAGAAAACCGAAAGTGGCACTGTGGCTCAAGTGGTAGAGCACTCGCCTTGAACTGAAAAGCTGAGGGATAGCACCCAAGCCCAGAGTTCAAGCCCCACAACCGACCAAAAAATAAAAATGAAATAATAATGATAATAATAAGTTTAGGAACAGTGCCTAGGCTCTGAGTTCAAGTCCAAGACTGGCAAAAAAAAAAAAAAAAGGTCAACGATTGTATCTCAGACTGGCCTCATCTTCTGGCCATCTTTCCTGCTCCAGCCTCTGGTGTGCTGGGATCACAGCACCCAGTCAAGCTGAATTTTTAATGAAAATATATCTTAGTACTTAACAGAGAATTTCCTGAGATCACAACTGATGGCCCAGTAAAGAACCAACAATTGTCAGGCATTTCCTAGCAGATACATAAACATATCTTTTTGGAGGCTAACCCAAACTTTAAACTAGTACAGGATCAGAACAGTGCTCTGGTCCATTTCAGGGAGAAGCATTCTCAGATACACAGATGCCAGAACTAAAGAAGTAATAGCTAACACTCCTGCTGCTAACTCTTATCCTCTTCTGTCACATCTGAGGACAACATTATTTGATTATTTAGATATTTAACATTTACTCAATTGTATGTCAATGTTAATAAACAACTTTTAAAACATTTTATTGGTCAACAGCTTGAGTTGTGTGTAAAAATGTGCTTTTTATGTAAATAGGAACTTTAAAGGCTCCTGGACACCTGTTGAGTTTCCAATCAAACCTTGCTATATGAGTTCTGTGACATGCAAACTCACCCCCCCCTACACATACACGTGCTCAGACACACGCACACACCCTTAGTGCTTTCCCAATACTGTTTATTGCCTTAACAGCCTTCATAGTTATCTTAAATTATATTGTCACTATACCCTTTTAGAAAAATGAGGTTCTTGTTGATAGGGACCTTTTCTGCAGTGTTCATTTTAGTGACCTGATATGGATTAGGTGCTCGCTAATAAGAGCCAACCAGTAATGGTTTGTTTCCTAAATTAGCAGATTTGCTGATATTCTTCCCTTTGTAAGACTTTGAGAGGTTAGAGGCATGACTCAATTGGTAGAGTCCTAGCTAGCCACTGGGCAAAAGCATCAGGTACCTCATTCAAGTCCCGGACCTAAAAAAAAAAACAAATTTGAACAGATTACAACTTTACTCAATGAAAGTTTGGACTAGATTAATGAGTATCACACCTTATTTATTTCCTCCTTTATCTGTATTTTCCTTTTCCTGTCTCAAATAAAAATACAAATTGTAGGCTTGGAAGATGGCTTAGTGGTAGAATGCGAGGCTACCATGCATGAAACCCCTGGTTTGATTCCTCAGTTCCACATGAACAGAAAAAGCTGGAATTGATGCTCTGGCTCAAGTGGTAGAGTGCTAGCCTTGAGCAAAAGAAGTTCAGGGAGGCTGGGAAGGTGGCTCAGTGGTAGAGCGCTTGCCTTGCATGCCTAAGGCCCTGGGTTTGATTCTTCAGCACCACATAAGCAAAAAGAAAAAAGCTGGAAGTGGCGCTGTGGCTCAAGTGGTAGAGCACTAGCCTTGAGCTGAAGAGCTGAGGGACAGCGCCCAGGCCCAGAGTTCAGGCCCCACCACCAGACCCAAAAAAAAAAAAGTTCAGGGACAGTGCCCAGGCCCTGAGTTCAAGCCCCAGGATTGACAAATTTAAAAAGTTTCTTTAAATTAATATCTATCTATCTGTGGTAAGATACCAGCTCAATTCCCTTCTCTGGAGGTAAAACTTTTTTTTCTTTTTTTTTGGGGGGGGGAGGGTCCAGTCGTGGAGCCTAAACTCTGGGTCTGGGCGCTGTCCCTCAGCTCTTTAGCTCAAGGCTAGTGCTCTACCACTTGAGCCACAGCGCCATTTCCGGCTTTTTTCTTTTTGCTTATGTGGCACTGAGGAATCGAACCCAGGGCCTCAGGCATGCAAGGCAAGCGCTCTACCTCTGAGCCACCTTCCCAGCCCTCTGGAGGTAAAACTTTTAATTGTTTTGTCTTCTTTTCACTCCTACTTTGCTACCTATGAGCTCCCTAAAATGGGCTGGAGCAAAAGGGCCTGGGAATAGTCTTGGTTCAGAGTGAAATGAACAACAAATGTGTAGAATGACTTAGGGGAAAATAAGCATTTTTATAAAGTTGAAAATGTGTGTGCATATTGGTGAGGCCCTGGGCTGATTTCCACACAGGAAAACAACAAAATCCTAGAGCCACTCACTTCCCTTATAATGCCTTTGCCTACGTGTCCCTCATACCTACACTGGACACATCCATTACTGGTCGTTGGTTATCAACTTGCACTTGATCGGGTATTGCTGTTGTGGAATTGAGGATTGTGGAACATTTATTTTGTTTACTCCTCTCCTTCCCACCCAGTTTTGTCTTTATTTAGAGCCTAGTTCTATGCCTCAGTCCCTGAGGAAGTACTTAGTAAATGTTTCTGGAATGATTAAAGGAAATTATAGTCATTTTTAAAACCAGTTCAGAAGTAGGAAACCCAAGTCCTGTGTCCTCCAACTGAACACGTGGCACAATGTTATGGTTTAAATACAGCCACAACCTAACTGAAGTTTTAAGTAACTGTCCTGATTTTTTTTTTTTCTAATTTCAAACTGAAGTAGAGGACACACTGTACTAGAGAGAAGGGTTCCACCCACCTGCCTGGCATATCTAAGTCATGTTTTTAGTCCTTTCCCCTCCCAGTATTATTTCCAAGCATAATGTTGCCTGGCAACTTGTGCAGAATTCACATGCTTGTGGTAATGTTGCAATAACTGAGTAAAAATTGTGTGTACAATGGGGGGAAAGAATCTTGTTTGTCTTCTTTGACCCATTAGCCAGTAAAAGGCTTTAATGCCACTATTGTCAGCCCATTTAGTCTTCTTTGACAGCAAAACAACTAACATTCTTGTCCTAAAGATTTATAATTGAGATTTTTAAATCGCCCTCTCTACTTTAAATACATATAGCAGAGTCTAAATGCATATTCTTAATAACATTAGGTTTGAAATCTTATAGAACTAAGAACTTGTACTCACTAGATAGGTGCTTTAACCTTCAGCCTTTAGTTCCTTTCTACTGGGATGGAATGTAGTAACTCTAGTTTTTTTCTCATGCTTCTCCCCTCTCTTTACAGATACATAAA